GCGAGGGCAGTAACGCACAGGTTACATCTCAAGGGGGGGCAGGGGCGGAAGGGGAGGGACGGGAAGAGGAAACGGATGCATCGGAACCGGTGAATGGCCATCGGAACCGCTGGGAGACCTGGGCTTCACTGTGCGCTCGCCCCGTCAGGCCGGGTGTCGGCGGATACTTGACGAGGTCAATTCATTTTCTGGCGTCCATTTCCTCGACCTTTTCTTTTAGTCTCTTATCTGATGTTTCGGTTAATGCTCCGTTAATGTGTAATCCTGTGCTTAAAAACTCACCTACATTAACCTTTTTGGCTTGAGTGCCAAAGATGCAACCCGGTGAGTGGGGGCACGTAACAGTTCATTCAAGTCTGGGAGATGTTATATGCGCGTGATTGGAATGAAGGCTTGAAGGCCGCGTAGGGTACGGAGTGGAAGAAAGACTCCATGAAAATCGAGGCGGGCGTAGCAAACATTCCATTTCTGTGCACATTTCCTCCGGAGTCCAATACAAATCTTTGTCCCTATTCTCAGTGCCCTGAAAAAAGACCGCGACAGACAGAAGTGCGCGTCTGGAAGAGTAAACAGAGGTGTGCAAGCTGCGTTATTGGTTTAGTAGTAAAGAAAACATAAAGAAAACATGGTTGTTCTTGAACATTTATAACACATGTGCTGAAGCGGCCGTTCGCCTCCGGCGTCTCCCGCTCAAGCTTTAAGGATGCTAGGAGGTGCCGCCATTTCGCACGTGGGGGCCTTTCTTCTCGGAGCCTTTGCTGTCAGCGGCTGAAGTGCCGTCTTTGGGGTGCATACCTGCCCTGCCTGCAACGTCAATTGTGGGAGCCTCACGTGTCCTGCAGTTCACTGTGCAACGGGTCACATTGAGATTGGACCTGTCGCCGGAGTTGTTGTGATTTTTCTCATCTTCGGGCTCTATCTCCTGTACTTCTGGCGACTTCGATTTATTAAGAGTCGCGTGAGACAAGAGGCACAGAAAAGCTTAACTGTCGATGGCCGGCGCAGCTCCTGGTAGCAGGCAATTGCATACTGGTTAAGTACAGTGTTCCCGCAAGATTATGGCATTGCAGGCTCCTGCTTGCACACGTGACTGGCGGAGAATGGGTGATATTGACCCCGCAGGGGGATTTGTACATCAAAGACCTTGCTGGGGACAATCCAGACATAGCCGGATGGAGGGTTTACGATCCCGCTGCCTTGCGTGGTTTGGTAACGGAGGGAGACGCGCGTGCGCAGGTAGAGCGAGCTTGTTGGGGGTGGCTTGCCAGCTGGCGGGGTGGGAGGAGCTGCCCCACCAACGATCCTCCACCCATAAATGGCGGAAACGCAGGCCTGGCTGTGGCTTTGGCTGGTGGCGGTGGCCGGGGAGATCCTGCCGTGGACGATGCCCGGACGCTAGGGATCAGCCGCGACGAGACTGGATTGAGGTTCAAGGAATTTCGCTCGGCAGCCACCGAATGCCGGATGGTGGAGTTTCAAGACTGGCCGATCGGACTGTGAAACATGTCATCACACAGATGCTGGATCACGGCGGGTCAGCCGTCGGACACCATCAAGCCTGGAGGGTGGCGTGCAAGTTTCAGCAGCAATGGAGCACGAAGCCTGGTGCAAGGTGCTACACACTATGAAGGTGTACGACCAAGTCGACGTTACCAGAGCTCGTCGTAAGGGCCATCCAACGGATCGAGGAGAAGCACAAGTTCAAGCTCATGTCATCAGAAGATGCTGGCGAAGGAGCACTATTCATGGGAGCCTCGAGCGGAAGTCGAGTGGGGTCGGTGATATCGCCGAAACTCACCGAGTGGATCGGCTCGGAGATGCAAAAGGAAGCCATGGTGGCCAAGGAGAGACGCAAGGCGCGAGAGGCGAGAAACCTGGCAAGAAAGAGCGGAGACAAGGAGCCAGGAAAGTGATTCGGACCAGCGTCTTGGGCCACAGTTTTGAGAGCATCCAATTTTTCCTGTTCTTAATTGTTTGCATGTCTATTGGTGTTGGGGTGGGAGCTGCGGATGCTTCATCGCGTCAGCGTAACATCTTCCCCCTGCCCGAGATCCTTGGCGGAGATGGTGCCGGGCCTAGTACTAGTGACTGGTGTAACTTCGCCAATGAAGGGATCAAAGCCCTCAATGAACTTGCGGGGTGTTTGAATTCACAATCTCATGTCAGAAAGAAGCCCACTCGTGCGCAACGCCGAGTGCTCAGTCAAATCTCCGATGCCTATCGTGAAGCCAGTGCTGGTTTGCAAGCTACTGAGTGCCATGAGGGTGTCCGGGGGTTATGCTCGTCTTCGCGGCTATATGACAACAGTCGTTCAGACGTCCAACCCTATGCCAAAGAGCATCTCTTGGCCCGAGGTGCAGTCCAGTCCAGTAGATGTTCTGGGCTGTCTTCCTCCGGCTGACCGTGAACGGCTAGGGACCTGCTCAGATCTGAGAATGAACAGCATGTTGAGATTGAGCCTGTTACCCCTTACGCAGATCCCATCCTCAAGAACAATCCTTCTGAGTACGCTGGTTTTATCAATGAATTGGCGCAGCGTAATATGGTCAAGTTCCAGTCTGCCGAGATGTGTGAAAGGTTCCTGGGTGTTTTCTGTGTGAAGACAAAGTCTGGGCAGCTTTGACTGATCTTTGACACCCGAAAGCTCAACCTGATGTTCACCACCCCTCCAAACACTGACCTTCCGTCAGCCGACGCCTTCACCCGCTTGGAGATGTGGGAGACCTAGCCAATGCCTTTTACACCCTTGCTGTGCCTGATGACCTTGGACGGATGTTCACCTTACCTTGCCTAGCATTGAGGCCTGGCGGGTTGGCGTCACCGAGGTTGATGGTGTCAATATTGCGCCTGGGGCCCGGGTGTGCCGTACTTGACGGTATTGCCCATGGGATGGAGTTGGGCCTTGCATATTTGTCAGCAGGTCTTGATGCATGCTATCTCCGTAGCGGGAACTCCGGATGATAAGATCATTGGTGACAAGAGGGGAGGTGTACGGTTGCAGAGCACAGATGATATCGCAGTCGCTGGGTATGTTGACAATTTCGGCGTGCTTGGATGCAACCCCTGCAAGGTCAACGCAGAGCTTGAGAAGGTGAGTAGGGTCCTGAGAGATTGGGGCTTGACTGTCCACGAAGTTGAAGAAGTTCGACGTGACGATGACTTTGTTGGGCTGCATTTTGATGGACGCTCTGGGTTTGTCTCAATCAAGCCTGCTAGACTCCATAAGATTCGATCTGCGATAGTCGAGCTTCTCCAGCAACAGCAGATTATCATTGGGCACTGCGCTTGGGCCATGATGAGTCGCCGAGAAGCCCTATCCATCATTCGAGCTTCGGACGCTTTCATTAATCAAAACCTGGGGAAGACAGCCCGATTATGGTCCAATGTTCGGCGGGAACTTCAGTGGATAGCGTCCTTGCTCCCAATTTTCCGCTTCAAAATCAACACTGGTTGGAGCTGCGATGTTAGTGCAAGTGATTCTTCTCCTTGGGGTGTTGGGGTCTGTCACCGACAAGGCAACAGTGAACTTGTTCGTAGTATCGGAGCTTGCAGTGAGAAATGGCGCTACAGATTTTGAGGACTGTCTCCGGACACGTCGCAGTGCCCTTGATCTGGGTTCTGAGGGGACCTCAAAAGTGCAAGAGAGTGAGCAGTCCAGTGCTGACCATTCATCGAACCTCATTCAGGATCTTGGTTTTGATGAGGTCCCTGCTGACTTCATGCGGCGAGAGGAATGGAGCATTGTGTGGTCAAAACCTGGGGCCTTCGAAGCCAACATTCTGAATACTGAAGCCCGGGCACTTGCATGGTCAGTTGAGCATCTACTGCGCGCCAGTAGGTGTGTTCAGAAGAGGCTCGTGTGTCTTGGTGATAACTTGCCGCTTGTTCTGAGTGCCACAAAGGGCCGAGGACGTTCGCAGCATCTAGTGCGGCCTCTGCGATCGCCGGTACCGTCCGAGCTGAATGTTGCAGACGCGCCCTCACGCGCCATAGAGCAGTGGAAAGCGCTCAGGCTGGAAAGGTGGTGGGACGAGGCCATTGCGCAACACCAGGGCCAGGTTGGTGCGCCATGCGCAAAGCAAAGCCAGCCGGCCCCGGGTCGAGGGCCTCTCCTACTTGGAAACAAGGAGCGTGCGACCAGCGACGCTGGTCGATTACCAGAGACGACTCCATGCTCTGACAGTGTGGTTAGGATTCAACCCAGTCCTAATGCTCAATCTGGTGATCCTCGACTCCCTCATGGTGGATTACCTAGAGGACCTCTTCGACATGGGGAAGGGCATAGATTCAGGGATTCGTGCAATCGCTGCCTTGAGGTTCTTTCATCCCCTCATTGGCCGGGGCCAAGTCGGCATCTTGACACGGGCTGCTCGAGCTCTGAAAGGTTGGCATGCAGCAGCTCCCCCACTTCAGAGAATGCCCATTCCCTTGGAGGGGTGGAAAGGAACAGATGGTCCTCAGACTTTTTCTCCAGTTCGCCTGCTATCTACGACCGGGGGAGAGCGGAGGATTGAAGGTCAAACAGCTCATTCCTCCCCAGCGGGTGGCAGCAATCGGGGCCGCGTTCCACAACTGGGCCATTCTGCTTCATCCCAGCGAGGATCTCCAACCAGGCAAGACAAACGTTTTCGATGCGTCCGTGATCATCGACTCGGATTTGTGGATGGAGCCACTGCTCAAAATGTTGGTGCAGAACAGGGCGGGGAACGATCCACTTTGGCACGATTCGCGCGAGGAGACTTACAAATCCTTCATGATGGCCATATCTCACCTCAATCTAGACCACATGGGGTGGAGCCTCTACAATCTCAGACACGGGGGAGCTACCCACGACGTGCTAGCAAGACGGAGGTCGCTCATGGAGGTGAAGCAGCGAGGTCGTTGGGCATCGGATACATCGGTCAAGCGGTGCGTGAAGCAGGCTCGCACGCAGTCAGAGTTGGCAAAGATTCCTGCTCAAGTCCGGCAATATGGTGCGAGCATCATCAATCAGCTACCCGCCCTCCTCAGGTCTCCGCACATGCAAGTTCGCAGCAAGCCTGGAACCAAAGAATCACCAAACGCATGCGAAGGGAAAAGACTGCTAAGCCGTCTTTCCCCAAACGTTTGAGTGGCAGTGAAATCCTTCGCAAATTGTTTCGAAGCGCCAGTAAGCCTAACAGCAGACGCATTTTTCTTGACCTCTTTTCAGGCTGTGGCAAGGTTTCAGCGTACCTTGTGAAGGAAGGGCACGCTGGTATTGCTGTTGATACGTGCGTTGATCACCGTCTTGATCTTTCTGATGAGGGTGTACTCAATGTCATACGGGGCTGGATCCAAGGAGGTTGCGTTCGGGGTATCTGGTTAGCTACCCCCTGTTCTTCTTGGAGTAGGGCTAGGCATGGGCCGGTCGGGTCTTCTTGGGGTCCTCTTCGGTCTAGCTATCATATTTGGGGTATCCCTAACCTATCCTCCCGGGATCAAGCCAAAATTCGACATGGAAACGCCACAGTACGTGCCACTTGTCACATCATTCGGTGTGCTGTGCAATTCAAGGTCCCCTGTTTTCTTGAAAACCCTGCTGGATCTATGATGTGGCAGGCACCTCCTATTAAGAAGTTATGCATGCATAGGAGCTCGCAAGTGTTCATCACTGATTTTTGTCAGCACCATGCGCGCTGGCGTAAACGGACGCGTGTGCAAGCATGGTTTGATCAGGATGTTCCTCAATTTCATTTGCAGTGTCACGGACGTGCTGGCATTTGCAGCCGCACGCAAAAGCACCATATCATCCTGAAAGGGCAAGATCCTGTGTCTGGCCAACTCTGGACACAGCTTGCTCAGCCCTATCCTGGTCGTTTTGCTGCCGCTGCGGCCAGGGCTTTAATTGTCTCCGCCGAAACTCAAGATGATTTTCACTTGCGAGCACGTTTCTGCAACTAATCAGCTGCCAGATTGCCATTTTGGCCTTTGCACTTTGGGGGTGGTAGCGGCTGCACATCGTGTGCCCAAAGGGCGCTCGCTTGATCTCTTCTCGCTGTTTTGATCTCAGTGTTGCCTGCATCGCCGCTTCCCAGAACAAACAGTGCTGGCCTCTGGTGCTACTGTGTGCTGGTTGTTCTTGAACATTTATAACACATGTGCTGAAGCGGCCGTTCGCCTCCGGCGTCTCCCGCTCGAGCTTCCCACCCTACCCTCCCGCTTGAACGGGGGTGGTAGCGGCTGCACATCGTGTGCCCAAAGGGGTGGTAGCGGCTGCACATCGTGTGCCCAAAGGGCGCTCGCTTGATCTTGCATCGCCGCTTCCCAGAACAAACAGTGCTGGCCTCTGGTGCTACTGTGTGAATAAAATGAAAATCGAAATTTTCACATTGCCGTTGATAGCCCAGCAGAAAGCCTTTAGATTTTTCAGGTGTCTCCAAAGCCCGTCACCAGGGCTTTGTGAAAACTTAGCTTAGACGTGTAGCTGCTGTAGTGCATGGCTGGAGTGTGGACCCACGGTGACCGCTAAGGTCCTCACTGGTGTAGAGACATTTAAATCAAATGCCAGCAGTTGACAAATTTTCGTACTGAGACTGCTTCAGCTTAGCTTTCTCCAGAAGATTCTTATAAGTGCAGACTTGTATGGCATCATAAGAGATCGTTATCCCTAGATGCTTGAATTCCGGCTTTTTCTCGAATCGCAGATTGCTTGGCAATTGATATGGCCCCGCTCGGAATTAGGAACGCGTCAATTATTGTTTCTTGAGGATTTTGCGGAACTTCATGGAACAAGTAAGAGTCTGCGCCTTTTACTTTCAAAGCCCATGCAAGCTGGCCACAACGAATGAGACATTGAGGGTTCCAAAGGGTTTTTAGAGGCCCAGTCAGTTAAGGCTTTCTGCTAGCGTGTTCCTGGTAATGCGAAAAGGAGGACCAGCAGCAGCAACGGCGGCAGCAACAGCAGCAAGGGCAGCAGCCGCCGCCACGAGCTGCACGAGCGGCGCGGCGCATTTCTTTCCAGGTTCCCTCATGTCCCTCTACGAGGTCTGGGACAAGGCCATCTCCGAGGCTCGCAGCTTAAGAGGGACCGTGAGGAAACGTGCTCTGTGATGTTGTGTCTTAAAGGCGGTTCGGACAGAGGAGAGCAACTACTGGCTCGGCGGTCACTCGGCAAAAGACCATGGCTACGCTTGTCGTTACGTTTGCTGCTGCTATGTTTGGCCCCTTTGGATTTCTGTGTTATCGCAATTCTTCAATCAACGGAGGCTGGACGCACGTGAGAGCGGTTAGCGAGCTCCTCAGATTTTCAGAACAAATCGCTAAGACATTCCGCCTCAAACTTCAAGCCTCCAACCGCCTCAACGAATCAACGAAGCCCCGTCCTGTCCTTGCAGGCAGCGAGTGGGACTTCGACAAGAGGAAGTGGAAGGAGGTTTTGAGATTGACAAGGCCATGGGACATGCTTCGGACTTCGGACACCAGGACGGTGCCTTCAAGAGCTTCGAGCGGTGGATGGACGAGGCTGTCCAGTTCTCATGCAAGAAGGCGGATCGTAAAACGTGGAACCTCTAACAGTTCCCGGGGAGCTATTTCCTCTTGTTACATCCTCTTGAGGCCTACGTGCACCCACTGACTGGCCAGAGGCTGGCAGGCCCCGAGGCTCAGAATGCCCAGACTCAAACGCCTGTGGAGATCGACGAGGCAGCCTACCAGGAGCCATAACTTTATGCCCACCGCGCTTCAAAGCCTAAGACTTTCAGAGACATTTCCAGCTTAGGAGTGGAGACACCTTTGGCTACGCCAAATCTTGTCCTGGCCTTGGAACTTTGAGTTTCTTGGAAAGAGGAAGAGACGGCCAGTGCAGCCAGGATAGCTGGCGAGCGCACGGCGATTGTCTTGAATGACATCTTGGACAACAAGGTGCGAATAATTTGCGAGACTTTCCAATTTCAGCGCCACGAGTTTTCAGCTCTGAGGGCGCCGCGCGGCTGGCCACGGGCAGCAAGGCCCCTTAGCTGCCTTAGCTTTCTGTTTTGGAGCCTCGTCTCTAGACAACAAGGTACACACCAAAGCTGACGAAGAGAAGGCCAAGGAGCAGGCCAGGCACTCTTTTCTTCGCATAGCGGTCACGAATTGCATACCTTTAGTGCCTTCTGTTGGAGGCAGCCTGGGAGCAGGTGAGGGAAACACCGCCTTGTCTTGAAGACTCCATTCGTAAATCCCCTACTCTTGCAGGAGAGGCTGAAGAGGCAAAGGGAGGAGCGCAGAACAAGGCCAAAACCAAAAGAGATCCTGGCTTCCTCTGATCGTATTTATTGCCACCAGGACATCAGGATCTTTGGCGAGCCCGCCAGAGTTCTGGGACTCTCTGCGCAGACTTGTCGCGATGCCTGTGGCCAGATCAATGTTGGAGCGTTCCTGACCAATCTCTTCGTTGCCATCTTTGTGGTGCACCTAGCTAGCTTGCACTTGATGAGGGGGCTTCATAAGGAAGCAGAACGGATCGTTAGGATCACGCAGGGTCAACCAGGAGTGCAATGCGGCAGATAACGACAAAACATCTAGCCGCAGATGATTGCCAGAGTTTAGAGCATGAGATTCTACTGAGACGGTGCCCATCTTCCTGTTGGTCGCGAACCATGGGCTCAATCCGCAGACCTATGCTGGCCTCATCAGGCGCACCTGGATTTGTCCAACTGGGAGTGCTCATATGCTTGGGCCAGGAGCATCTTGGAGAGCCACACTGAGACCGCGACAAAAGGACCAGCCAAGCGATTCGAGTAGCAGTGGATTTAAGACCAAAAGCAGGCAGTGATAGCATTCTCTCCACCGGATGGCTTTTTCCATCCAGGGTTTGCGATTGCTTGTGGATGACGTTGTTGCCGTCATTTGAGACATTGCTGAAGAAAGTGCTGCTAGGCTTGTGAACATGTTTCGCGGGCTTGGAATAGACTTTACTGATCAATTCTCCTTGGACTGATCGTTCACTGTCGGTGCTTCGGTGCTTCGATGCTTCATCCTTCCGCGGCGTTGTGAATTTTGAGTTTTCATGACACGCTAGCGCACGATGCGCACTTGTCGGAAAAAAAACTGTGCTGCACTGCCTATTGTCGGGCTTGCTCAGCCTTAAGCACTGCCGAAGTCTCTGCTAAGCAGAAAGGTGTAAACAATATCCGTTGCTGACATGCCCACATTGGCCCTTCGCATCAGATTCATTGTGTTTGCAACTGCATAAACACTAAAGTCGCTACAAATGCTTCTAGATTGATAGACCTACAGTCGCTACAAATGCCAAATGACACAACCATGCCAACTGCAATGATCACCCATTTTCGGATCGGGTGTCTTCGCAAAAGTTATCCTCAGAACAGCACGGCAGAGAAGAAGTAGCTCTCGTGATGTGGAAGCTGGAAGTGGCAAGGCTGCAGCACTCGTGCGAGTTATTAGTACGAAGGTGGCTTCCCTTTGGCATTTCACGAATCCTCCCTTCATCCTTCCATGTACGAATCCTTTCCATCTGGCTTTGGGATTCTGAACCTCTCAAATTCTCGCGAACTTGGTTCTGGATGTTGTCCATTCCACTGTCTGTCGCCAGTCATGCCAGTCCGGCCGATGCCGGGTGGTCGATGTCGTTGCCAGATTCTCCCGCTTACGCATTATCTGGTTTCCATTATTTCCTCAGGGCTTTACAAAGTCGTGTGAGACGATTTTTGGTTTTGTTTCGCCATGAGAAAAGCTGAAAGCTACACATCGCTGGCCTTGCTGGGATGCTAGAAGCGCAGTTGTGCGCCATGCGTTTGTTGTCAGCTTTTGATCGGCACTTGGTGCGCGATTGTATTGTGGATTTGCAGCATTTTGGTTCAAAGATCTCAGCATTCTTCGAGATGGGCAAGAAATGACAGCCAAAGGCCAGGATTTGTTGTCTTCATGTAGTGCTCGTGGTCTGCATTTTCATGGCGTGCACAACTCAGGCAGCTGTGGTAGCCTGCCGTTGCAGCCGATGTCCTTGATCGGGCACATGACGGCCATGTTTGTGTGGCGCATGGTCTTTTTGCCGAAGAAGGCTCTGTAACGGAGATTCCTGGCACCAACCTTGTGCCCTCAGCGTGTCTAGTGTGCGCCTTGTCAAAGACTTTATTTTGTCAAGCTAGCGGAGACAGCAATAGTAGCCTTCAAGGTCTGGTGGAACACAACGTATCGTGTGGTATATCGCAGCGTGGAGGGCGGGGTAAGAGGGTAGAATGTGTGTAATGCGACCTGCTTTCATGAATTCCAACTAGTTTAGATGCAAAGCTGAGGTAGATATCAGACAAAGCTAGGCTTGCCACAGCTGCACACCTCAAGACACCACAACTCTTTTCAATACTGTGAGCAGAAAAAGGGTCTTCGAAGAAAACGTTGACATGTCATTCCTGCGCAGGGCGAGGCATGGTGCTACTGACCACACACACTCCCCCCTCAGCACTTCGCTGAGAACCTCCAATGTTGGACGTCTCCGCCCTTTAAGGGCTTACTGCGTCTTCAACATCGGCAGCTCAAGACCCTCTAACAACACAACAGAATACCACAGGAACAAACAAATCTCAACCCTATAAAAGCCCCTACCCTAGGGTATGGGTGAGGTAAGGCAAACTGCTCAGCAAAATGCTGGGCGCAAGAACGGGCTGTTGAGGGTAAAAACGACTTAAGACGTATCCTCCTATACAGTAATGACCCATCTGATTACGTCTGCAAACGGGTGGTGCAGGAGGATAATGCACAGGTATTGGTTCAGGCTGCGCCGGAGGTTCAACGAGCTCACGGCCCGCGGTACATCTTCCGCAGGGAAGATACCTGCGCGTAATCTGAGTTCTGAGATCTGGGCATCCTGCACTCCGGTGCCATCGTTCCCCCGTTGCCGTAAAAAAGGCCTCCAAAATGGCCGGAATAACGGGGCACGTAGTCCGTTTGAACAGCCATGTCCACTTGGGTGGTGGTTCGTGGTTCGCGCACGCGGAATTACTCTAATGCATCGAAGGGCTGCTGAAGATGCTGCCCGGAGACCTTCCCAACATAGGATCACAGAGATGACCAAACTGAGAAGCCACACATTCAAGGAAGTCTCCGTATCTTCGGTTCCTGGACCAACATCCTGGCCCATCAGCAGTTGCACTATGACCACCAACAGCAAAGACAGCCCCATGAGCAGGAGTCTCTTGCGGGGCTCTACACCAACAGACACCCTATTGACCAAAGGAGGTGGTCGCCCTGATGACATGCCGCGTAGCGGAAGCAAAGACTGACACTTGGCCACGCCTAACGCTTTAGTCAGTAGATCCGCCGGTAACCATTGGCCAGGTAAGTGGGCTATTGTCCAATGCCCCGCTTCTAGCCTCTCTCGCAGAGCGGAGGCCCGAAGCCGCAGAGGCCTACTCCTCCAGGATGTCGGTGGTCCTGACACTATGGAGATACAAGCCATGTTATCTCCAAGATAAGTGTCTGTTTTGATATGAAAAGTAGGGCCCCTGAAGGGAAACTCCTAAGTTTCCAACAATACTTATGTGTCTATGTCCTGTGTCTATATCTGTAGTCACATACATCTATTTGCGTGGCCACCAGTGGTTCAAGGCGTAACCTATTGCGTGTAGCAGAACAAATAGCGAGCCGGTGTGTTGTGTGAGGGGCCGTGAGAGGTTTGGGCCTCAATGGGCCTGCGTTGAATACCGTCTACAGCGGCGAACGAAAGGCGTAAGAGGCGTAGGTCAGAGCGCGGAACAGCGTGGGCCACTGGCTACCTGAGGGATGTGAGAGCAAGCAGGAGACGTGTGGGGTGTGGGCCGTGGAGACGGTGAACGAAAGCCGTAAACAGCGTGGGCCAGAGCAGCAAGACCGTATATAAATATGTACACACAACTATGTGCTTCCGCGGCCGCCAGTGGTTCAAGGCAACTTACGACTGTCAGAGTAGAACCAAAGCTAGACTAACTTGCTACTTTAGTTTTCTGGTAGCGGAGCTTGGTCGGTGGAGACCAGTACTAACTGGAGTAGCTGCGTTAGCGGCGAGCCGTACCGAGCTCGCCTACCTAGTGAGCGCCCAAAATGTCTGCCTCTGAGTCAGACGGTGCAGGTTACCTCTTGGACCGGGTACCTCGACAGTCCTTCGGAGCCAGCCGCGTTAGCGGCCAGCAGCTATACTTGAGTGCCTCATGGCATGACAACGACTCCCAAGATTCCTCCGGAATTCGATGGGATGATGAGTTGGTTCGAGTATGAGCAACGGGTCGTTAAAGCCCGCTTAACTGGGCTAGCCGAGAAACACAAGGAGCTCCTGGACAACCAACTGCTAGAATGCCCAGGGCTTGGCGTTGAATACTTCAAACGTTTTCTCCGCCCATATTTCGTTAAAG